TCAGCTCAATTGATAATTACAAAATACTCACGGGGATGTAAAGTACAGCATAGGAAATATAGTCAATAATAGTGTAATAATGATATATGGTGCCAGCTGGGTACTGGAAATAATCAGAGGGAACACTTGGTGTGTGATTGATTATTTAACCACTATGCTGTGTACCTGAAACTAATATAAACTAATATTGAATTTAAACTGTAATCAAAATTTTTAATTAAAAATTATAATACAAATATACTATACATCATAAAATATAAGAATTATTGGATTAAAGATAAGCATATGAAGTAATAGCATGTTTTTAAAAAACCTTAGTGCAGGTGACAGGTTACACTATAAAGAGCTCCAATGATTTCCTCTGCTCTTTTGCTGTTTTACCATAACCCCTAATTTATTTATTACTCAAACATTTGTAAAAGGTGTTTTGTATTTTGCTTTATCATGATAATAACAGTACCAGTTTGGCTGGTTGGTTTATAAGTTTAAGTACAAATAAATAAAATGTCTATTATAGTTGTTTCTAAGAAAAAGTGTGTTGTACATACCAAAAGGATAAAAAAATAAAATTGTTACAGGGTGAATTCAAAACATCAAGAAAATATTAAATGCTATCACAGATAAAAGATAGATTATGTGCCATTAGGCCACAGTGTTCCCAACAGAAATATGAGATGCCACAAAGAAGCCAGTGAAGTGATGTCTTCGGGGTACTGAGGGAAAACAGATCTCTACACTGCTAAACTTTCACAACGGGGACATAAAAATGAAACTGCTTTCCAAGGCAAAGAATGAGACCAAGAATCGTCAGTCACCTACAGACTGGGGCAGACAGAGTGCTCACCAGCACAACACTGGTGCAAACACAGTGGAGATCCAATACTCAGCAATGTAAATACACCGAACACACTGAAATATACCTAAAAATGTTGAAGATGGAAAATTTTATATTACGTGTTTTCCTGCCACAGTGGAAAAAAATAATACTGTGCTCAGGACCCAAGTAATCCCACCCTAAGTTCTCTGCATGGGTGGGCAACATGCAGGGACAGGGAGCTGTAGGGAGTTTTCCAAGCTTCCCAGATGATTTTCAACGTGCAGCCAAGGTTAAAAAACACCAAATTATGCCTAAAACAAAGCCATATAAAATTTAAAAGAAAAAGAATCAGAAAGGGAGTATTTAAAAAGAAATATAGACGGCAAATATAAAAGAGAAAATAGGAGAAAAAAATCCAGTAACAGTAGTTATTAGACAAAATAGAAAGTGAAGCAAAAAATGTGGATAATAAGGCCTACTACATAATAATCAAAAGGGAAAAAAATCATGTACCATCATGAATTTGTGTGTATACAACAATGTTACAAAATAGATCAAGTTACAAGACATATAAAGCAAAAACCATGTATGAAGCAAAAAATATAATGACAAGGAAACACAAATCCACAGTTGTAGTGGGAAATTTTTAACACAGTTACCAGAAACTATTACATCAAGAAGACAAAAAACTTAGGAAACATATAGAATATTTATAAAATAAAACCTTAATTTTTAGTAGGGATTCAGAGAATCCTGCAAATGGTAAACAGATAATGATTCTTCTTTATAAAAACTGACAACTTAGAGATCACAAAGTAAGTCTCAACAAATTTCAAAAAAATAAACCAGTATCATGACAATTACATATATTTTATAATTTATAGTTTTTTCTTCTTGAAAAAATTTTGAAATTATGGCAAAATATTACCTGAAAAAGCAGGGTGTAGGTTCAAAGTGTTTCATATATCATTCTCTTAATGTTTTTTTATGTTTCCAATGTAGAAATGAATATTTGTAAAAATTCAAACCACTAGAAAGATGTTTCCAACAAATATAATAGCAGATTACGGTCACTTTATATAAAGAGCCCACAAAAAAAAGAAGAAAACACTAAAATGTTTATACCTAAGTACACAGAACATATTGAAGGATACCCAACATGAAGAAAAAACAAGTACTTAACAAATGCAATAAAATTCATCCAGAATAAAGTCAAGGAAATATATGCCCTGACCAGTGTGGTTCAGTGGACAACCGGTCAGTGGGATAATCACTGGCCCCTTCTGTCCTTGTTCTGCCTGAGTCCTGTCTCTACAGAAGTGTGACTGACTGGCCATGGGGGGTCAGGCCACCTCGATCACAGTCCACCAAGGACACACAACAGGGAACAGCAGCAATCCAAAAGAAAATCAAGGTATTCTCCCCACAAGGAGGATACACGAAAGCTACAGAGGTCAAAAACAGTTTCTGCTTCAGACATTTGTTGTTTAAATCTACTCTTGTCCTGCGTGAGAGTTTTCACACAAACCACCCCCCCATCCTCTTTACACCCAAACTTATTCTTTGGGTCCCTCATTTTATTCAAACAACAAATGTTTGCTTGCAGCAATCCTAGGCAAGCCCATGTGTGGGAGGTCAAACATGCATCGGACCTGGAGCTTGCCCTTGAGTCGTTCACACTCTAGCAGTGGGGAACTGCAGTAACACCACAGAGAAAGAGGAAGGGGCCCTAGAGACACAGAGACAGTGCTCTGGAAATTCAGAGGAGGGACTACTTCCAGCTGCACCCTTGACCCCATTCGGCCTTGCAACTTCTCTCGCATTGTCGTCTCGTCCAGGTATTGACTCCTACCTTGTTCCACACCAGCTCTCCGGCCATGCTGAGGAACTCCAGACGCTGCTCCTTCCTCTGTGCCCAGGTCAGCAGCTCCTCTGAGGCAGGGCTGGAGAACTCCGACAGGCAGAGTGCAGGGGTTAACACTACAGATCAGGATGCCGCCGTAGCAGCAGAGAACATCTAAAGTCTATATGGGTTCATAGATATGGACCTTTATTAGCTTACTAATATTTCTTTCATGCATTAAATAAAATAAATTCAAAAACTGCTTTTCTCCTTTGCCGTTCCTCCCCTCCCCCACTGCCCCAGGAAATGTCTTTCTGTCATCTCCGCACGTCCTTCCACCTTGGCTACGTAGAAATGTCACCTGAAGGTAAAACACACCTTGCGGGTGGCTCTCAATAGACCTTTTATACCATGATCTCTGATCTCTTCATGGAAATTCCTTTTGCGTGTGCACCATCAAATTTCGCCTTTTGGTATCACTCCCTAGTCTTTCTGAAAAACACAGTTTCCTTTTTTGTTTCTTTTTTAAATGACCCATAGTAAGGAACTATCTTACTCACTTCCCTTGCTCCCCTCCCCACTACAGACGATCATGCCCAGAAGATCCCCTGTCCTTATGTGTGCTTAAGCTGGCTGTGCGAACCGGTCGTCATCCCCTCTGGAAGGTGCTCTCCTGGGTCTCAGAGTCGCCATCCTCTCGCAGCAGCTCTCTCATTCAGGATCTGGGATGTGCTGTTCTAGCCTTCATGTAGTGGTTCGGGGAAACACGTGCCGTGTTACACTGGATCATGGTGGAGTCCAGGGAGGCACATGCCCCATGAGAGTAGCTTCTCTGTATGTCCTTCATAGAAGAAGCCTGTAGCAAAAACAGTCGTGGTTTGGCTCCAAGCACCTCCCATGAATCCTGTGCTTGCTTAGGCAGGTCCCCCCACAGCTCCATCAGCTCTACCACGGGCCACACAGCTCCATGAGCTCTCCCTCCTTACACCCTTTCCTCCTGCATGGCTTCTTCCTTCTTTCTCTGCCTGAATGGCTTCTACTCCACTTTAAACTGCGTGCCTGAACCATCACTACACCTGCCTGCGTGGTGGAATCTGCTTCTTCCTTACTACACCAGGCCTCATGCAGAATCCCCTTGTCTTTCAGACCCCCTTTATTTTAAATGCTTGGCCTGGAACTTCCTATGTGATCTCATATCTGGCCCCTCCTATGATGAGCTACTTTTGCCAGTTCCCCCGTATCTTTTACCTTCTTTTGGCTGCCATCTTTAGTCATGGCTAGAGTTCCTGTGATGCAGGGGCATCCGGCTCCTGCCTCTAGTGCAGGCACTATATAAACTCCTCCAGCTATGTCACGAGTCCCTGAATGTTCCCAAAGCTGGGTATCCTTTAGCCTGGGGCGGCAGCACAGCTATTAACTTGCCATGGTTATGCAATGTATCTTAAATTTTGCTTAGTCCACTTCCTCCTTCCCCCAGTTGAGGGACCCCCACCCTGCAACCTATTACAGAACTATGTTATTTTGTGAAGTCAAAATCTGAATTGTGCTGAGAGCATGGTATGCCTGACGGAACCCCTTGGGTGAAAGGACCCTATCTGACCTATACTCTAAGCACCTGAATTTCAGGGTAGCCTTGTCCTTTTCACTCGCTTACGATACACTGTCCAGAAGTCACATGTGAATGGCACTTATACAAAAGAAAGCATTCACTACAGCGGTTTCTCTCAGATGTGGAGATTCAAAAAGGTTTCGCCCAGGATGCATTGCTGGAGAATGATATCATTGCTGGGAAATTCCATGAAATGGAGATAAAAGAAAGATAAATAGAAAGTTACTGAATTTCTAGAGATATTCCCTGAGTCAGGACTTTCTCTAATTGGCTTTAGAAGAATTGCAACTTCAAATATGAATGACAGTATTCAAGGGAATCAGTGCTACTGTTTAAAAAAGAAGAAAGAAGAGAAAAATAAATAAAAGAGTGGGAGGGAGAAAAGGAGGGGCAGAGAACACCCAGAGTCCTACAGACTAACAGTCACAAGCAGTCAATGTGAATTCCTGTCTGGGAGTCCTCTGGAATCAAATGATCTCTCTGGGCAATATTAACCACATGCCAAACTGGAAAATGACAAGAGTTGTCCAGGGGGGACAGTGGCCACAGTTACACACCTCGGGAAGAAAGAGCCATGCCCGCACTCCTCGGTGCTGGTTCATCTCCTTCCCCTCACACCCACATCAACCCAGGTCAGACGCTCACAGGCCCTCCAGCCGCTGTGGCCAGCTCCAGCCTGTCCCAGCGCCGATCCATGAAACGCCGAGGCTGTGGTCTGCAATGCAGCTGTGGGGGTGCGCTGGGAGCAGGGGGCCTGCAGAGACGGCTCCTCAGTGTACGACACACCCAACCAGAATTCGGGGTCATTGTGTCAAGAGGCATGGAACTCATGCCCTTCCTGTGAACAAACACCCTACATGTGAAAAATATAAAATAAAAAATAAAGTAAAATAAATAAGTAAAATAAAATAAAATGCAGGTGTGGCTATGTCTCTCCCAGCTTTAAATGCCCGCTGCCGTCGATTCTTTTTTTGTTGTGGTAAAAAAACAATAAATAAGATGGAATTTACCACCTAGACCATTTTTAAGGTACGGTGCATTAGTAGCAACTATATGCGCACTGCTGGAAAACAGTTATTTGGAGCTTTCTCATCTTGCAAAACCAAAACTCTACATCCATGAAACCACTCCCCATTTCCCCCAACCTTCATTTTACTCTGTTTCTGTGAGTTTGACAACTTTGGAGACTGCACAGGTGGAATCATGCAGTGTATCTGTCCTCTTGTGACTGGCTTATTTCACCTACTATCACGTCCTCAAGATTTATCAATGTGGTAGCATGTGACAGTATTTCCTTCCTTTTAAGACTGAATGATATTCCATTGTATGTATTTACCACATTTTTCTTGGCCATTCATCCAACAATGGACATCTGGGTTGCTTCTGTACTTGGCTATTATGAATGACGCCACTAATACCATAGGTATGCAAACACCTCTTCGAGACCTGCTTTTGCCCTAGCCAGTGTGGCTCAGCAGTTCGCGGAGAGTCATCCCGTAACCGAAAGATTGCGAGTTTGATTCCTGGTGAAGGTACACACCTAGGTTGTGGGCTCATCCCCGGGTGCCCCAGTCAGTCCTGGCGCATACGGGAGGCAATCCATCAAAGTTGCCTCCCTCAATGTTCTCTTTCCCTTCCTCTCTAAAAAGCAATGGAAAGAAATGTCATCAGGTGACAATACAAAAAAAAAAAAAAAATCCTGCTTTCAATTCTTTGGATAAATACCAAAGAATTTGGGATTGCTGGATCATATGAAAATTCTATTTTTAATTTCTTGGGGAATTGCTACACAGTTCTCTATAGTGGCTGCACAAGGACACCAATTTTTCCACATCCTCACCAAAACATTATCATCATTATTACTGTCATCATTTTATACTGGCCACGGCCCAGCTGCTTAGTGAAACAGAGCTCCTTCTCATGTTTGCTGGCCATATATACATGTCCTCTTTGGAGAAATGTCTATTTGGGTCCATTTTCACTTCTTAAATGGGCTTTTTGTTTTTCTGTTGCTGCGTTGTTGTTTATAATTCTTAAGCATGGTCCACACCCTTCGAGATCTGGTCGTAAGCCTCATTTCCCTGCTCTCCTTCCCGCACACACTTCTCTTCGGCAAACTCAGTTCCATGAGGTTCCCTAACGGAGGAGCCACACTATTACGCCTGCATGTGTTGTTCCTGACGGGAGCTTCCCTTCCTACCCTACACACACCCTGCCTGCTGGAGAAAAATCTGCTTTTGCCAGAAAAAAAATTACCTTTGAAAAGCCTTCTCTCACTATGTCCTTTAGCCCACTACGGACAGAATTGAGTTCTCCCTCTTTTGTACCATCCGTCTATCCTGTGTGCAGGGCTGACCACGTGGGTTTGTGATTTTTGTTATCATCTGCCCCTCCCTCCAGACCACAAGCTCATTCAGATCAGACCCAATGTCTTATTAAATATTCAAACTCTGATGCCAAGCACAGAGACTGCCACACAATCTGTATTGTTAAATATTTTCTGGAGGAAGAAAGTTTGGTGGGCAGGGGAGCGAGCAGGCGCAAAGAGAAAACATACATCCGGGCTTCTTCTCCGTGCCCTGCCCCGACTCCCCCTGCGGCCTGGCTTTCTCAGCATAGTCTGGAGAACCCTGAACCCGTCTCAACTTCTCAAAGCTGCAATGGCTTAGTCCTCACAAAGGTCACACGATACTTCCACCTGCAGCATTCCAAATGAGAGTTTAGACTCACAGACTGCAAACCAGTGGTCCAGTGCAGCCAAGCAAATACCCCGATCGAGTCTCGGGTCACTGGGAAAACTATCATTTACCAAGCATATACTCCTTGCCAGCCAACAAGGGAAGGCCTTCAGATTTGTTATCACAATTCAACCCCCTTTTAAATCCTTTGAGAAAAGGGTTATTATTCCCACTTTCCAAATGAGGAAAACAAGACCCCACCAGAATATTAACCAAGATTTTTTTAATGCTAAGGCCACACTTTGATTATTATATCATGACACTATAAAATTTACAAGGGATGTGATCCATTGTTTTGATCATTATTTATTAGGTATCAGCTATATAGTTCATAGGCTTAAGAGTCATTTACACCTGGATATCCTACCTTAAAAGATATCTAGTCTAATCCCCTTAATATACAAATGAGGAAGCTGACAACTTGACGTGATTTACAAACTGTGCAGTGAATACAATGATACAATCATGCTCTGCAGACTTTTTTTTATTTGGTTTTTAAGTGGGTTTTTTTTCCTAAATGTAAAAGCAATAAGCTCAGTGTTCAAATTGAAAATTAAATAAATAGGAAAGTTAAAAATAATCCATAATTCAACTCACAGACTTGGGGAGGGGGGGTGCTGAGAGGAGGTAGGGAAAGGGAGCAAAAACAGGAAGTATAATAGCATAAACAATAAAATTAAATAAATTTTTAAAATCCATAACTCATATTCTTTTTTAATTTTTTAATTGATTATGCTGTTACAGTTGTTCTATTCCCCCCTTCATTCCCCTCCACCCTACCTCCCATCCCCACCATTACCCCCCCTTTAGTTTATGATCATGTGTCTCAATTCCTTTAGATTCTATATTTCCCATGCTATTCTTGCCCTCCCATCTATTTTCTATCTACTGTCTATGCTACTTATTTTCTGTACCTTCTCCCCCCTTCTCCTCCCACTCCCCTGTTGCTAACCCTCCTTGAGATCTTCATTTCTGTTTCCACTCCTGATCTAGCTGTCCTTTTAGTTTGCTTTTGTTTTAGGTGTGGTTGTTAATAACTGTGAGTTTGTTGTCCTTTCACTGTTCATGTTTCTTTAACTTTTTTTCTTAGATAAGTCCCTTTAACATTTCATATAATAAGGGCTTGGTGATGATGAACTCCTTGAATTTGATCTTATCTGAGAAGCACCTTATCTGTCCTTCCATTCTAAATGAAAGTTTTGCTGGATAGAGCAATCTTGGTTATAGGTCTTTGGATTTCATGACTTGGAATACCTCTTTCCAGCCCCTTCTTGCCTGTAAGGTCTCTTTTGAGAAATCAGCTCACAGTCTGATGGGGACTCCTTTGTAGGTGACAGTCCCCTTATCTCTTGCTGCTTCTAGGATTCTCTCTTTCATTTTAATTTTGGCTAATGTAATTATGATGTGCCTTGGTGTGTTCCTTCTTGGGTCCAACTTCTTTGGGACTCTCTGAGCTTCCTGGATTTCTTGGAAGTCTATTTCCTTTGCCAGATTGGGGAAATTCTCCTTTATTATTTGTTCAAATAAGTTTTGCACTGGTGGCTGTGCCTTTCCCCCTTCTGGTACCCCTATAATTCGGATGTTGGAGCATTTAAAGATGTCCTGGAGGTTCCTAAGACTGTCCTATTCTGATAAGCCTAACACTTATTCGTAGACATGGGTTTAGATTTAGTTCATTTGTAATTTCATTTTAGGCCTTAAAAAACAGGTGTATTTAAGAGAGTGGTTATATATGTATATATACATGTACATATATAATCAGTTGATATTATATTCTTTATAAAAGATGGTATGCATCTCATTGAATCTTATCCAGTGAAAGTATTTGTACCATAATCATAAAAGTAATACTTTCTCACTGAGAAAAATTTTTTAAATATACATAATTCCAAAGTAAAAACCACCATTGACACTTTGCGGTTTTGGAGGTTAGAGTGTCTCTTTGGATCTATTTGCGTGTGTATATAACCAAGACAAATGGCACAGACGTTTGTCAACCCTCAATTGACAAACTGATTTTCAGAAAGTCTATTCATATTTAAATTAACGGTATCAGTAAATGAGACTGTTCCTCTCACAATATCCTCACCAACCTTAAATATTATCTTCTAAACATTTTGTTAGTTTTATAGTGGGAAATGGATTTAAATGTGAATTTATTTTAAAAATTGTGAAAATCATTACTTACAAGTTTTATTTTATGAAGCAAATAAGATTAAATATAACGTATGAAGAGCTCTGTATACACAAACTCTAGTTTATATCATGCCCATCTAGACTACTTTAAACCAAGGCAACAATGGCTTGAAAACAGTTTTGCAAAACTGCATTACATTAAATGGAATAGAAAGAGTAAGAAGGTACCAGAGAAGGTGGGTCCAGGAGCCTCAAGTAAGACTTCTGTGGAAGAGATGACGGCAGTATCTCTCTGTAATTTCTTTTTCTTTCCTACCCTGTTCCAAAAAGGGAAGACAAATAACACATCCATATATCAGCACAATGCAAACAGTCAGAGCTCACCTGAAACCAGAACTTCTTAAACGTTCTACCTGCTATATTTTAAAGCCACCAGTGATTTGAAGGGATACACGTCAAAGTCACAATCCACAGGACACTGGAGAGAAATCCAAACAGCTTCAGAAAAAGTTTAATTTCCAGTCCAGTTACTACCTTCCTAAGCCTCCCAGCACTGCTCTGTCTGCTCTTCCTGTCCCTTTGCACCTGAATCTTTTTCAACAAATATTTATGCCTGTTAAATTTCTGGTATGAGTCACATGCCATTGTTGACCCTCATATTGTGGCTACATGGTCTGTCGAAGGAGGGGAATCACATTTACAGGATGTGCAGTGTTTGGCATCGATATTCAGAGTCCAAAGCCCTGGGAGGGTCCTCTGTCCCTCCTGAGAGGAGGCCCTGCTGCCTTGTGGTGGCAGGGTGTACAGCTACCCTTGGCATCTCTAGATAACTATGTGAGACATACCCTCAAGAAGGAGTAAGAGTGAAGTGGAAATGTTTGGACTGTGTTTGTAAATATCAAGACATACGGGAAATGAATGCAAAATTTTGGAATATATTACAGTCTATGAATGCAATATGATGCTGTCATTATTGTTGCCATCAGAAAAATGAAATCCCTTCATACTGAATGTCTTCTCTGTTACTCCTCAGTGATTAATGCTATCATTGTTCCAGGGCCTTGTGTTAAGAATGCATGACAATCCTGATAATGCAGGCATGGAATTCAAACTCTTTCTTCTGACATTCAAGGCCTTATATAACATTGACCTAGCCAACATTTTAAGCTTGATCTCTCCCTTATGCAAAGCTTTGTTCCAGGAAAACTAGTTACTCATTTCCCGCCACCCCCCCCCCCAAACTCCTGCTTGGTTAGTGCCCTCAGGTCATCTGGAAAGCCCTTTTTACCAAACTGCCTGGCAGTTCTGTCAATTGAGGATCATCTTAAATGCCACCTCCCCCATAATATTTCTTTCCTGTGAACTTTTTTCTCTACTCTGACAAAGGTTCTCTGGAGGTAGAATCTACACACCTTACACACAATATGAATGACAGAGACCTCAAGCTTGTTCCTCTCCTTCCCTGAGTGTCAAGTTGTTGCAGGAAATTACTACCCCGCCAGGGACTACATAGGCCACTAATATGTCATATACCCAGGTGTGCCCAAGTAACTTGTTCTTACAGTTGCATGTAAGTGGAAGTGATGGGTGTCACCTCTGGTCTGGGCCTTTTAAGAAGCATGGATTGTCTTCTTCACTCTTCTACTTCTCTGGCAGCTTCAGGAAGAAGATTCTGCCAAGCAAGAGAGCATGGCAGGAACCCAAGATGGAAGGAGGCAAAGCTCTGGATCACCAGGTGGAACCAAGTTGACCACTGACCTAGACCAGAATTGCTGAGATGGTAAGTAAGCCTGAAGTATTTGTTAAATTACATTGAAAATTCAGAGACAAACACAAAGAAATATAAATTAGCTTATACTTTAAAACATAGTTTGAGATATCTGATGACACCAAAATGTTGTCCAAACACTATTTCCTTAAAAATACCACCCCGACTCCAGGTCATTTGTTTTACATGATAAGTACTTACACTTTGAAATCAACTGTCACTTTGTTCTTGGCAAGGATAAAATAAGATGTTTCGATAACTGATAGTCATTCTGGTTGAATGTGGGTGCCAAGTTTTCTTATGGTTAAGTGAGCCAGATGGCATAACTGTGAACAAATAATGACAAAATAGAAGATATTCCTCTTTGACTGTCAGATAATTCGGTCAAATTTTCAAATAAGACATATGCAGTGGCTAGAAGCTCTTGGTCAACAGCACTTGTTCACATTCCAATTGGACTTTCATTGTAAAACGATGATAGTATTATTGAGGTACTATTTCTTAGGTTGAGCTAAGTCATAAAAAAGGGAGGAATTTATTAGCTCTGCCCAAAATGTCTTCAAGACAAAATATGATTGGGTCAGCATCACTCCAAAGCAAACCTCAGTCTAATTCATTATGATAGGACACTGCATTATAAAACCAGAGTGCCAGCTCAAGGAGTAGGAGGAAGGTAATAAGGTTACCCAAACTTTGGCATACAGCTTTTCTTGGAATTACTCCTTAGTCTCCTCTCAGTGTGATTCTTTTTTACCTTCCTTCACCCATTTTATTTCTTCTCCATCTCAATGAAGTAAGTAGCCCCATGGAGCCCTGTCTTTGTTCAGAGACATTTTCATATTATTTTATTTATCTTTAGGCCTAGATTGTTGAATTCACTTGTGTAGCATACACTGTACCATCAAATTATTTCCCACAAAACGTTAATAAACATGTATACATTTGTTTTTGATAATTTTTCCAAAATTTTTTTTGTTTTCTCTAAACAAAAGTTAAACTCATACTTTCTGATAGAAAATGAACTATGAGACCCACTTTTGGAGGCCCTTTAGTGGCTCATAAAAATCAGTTATTGAGTCACAACCAGAATTCCCAAAAATTAAATAAAGTAGAATAAATACATATATATCAGAAGGTGTTATACTTAGTATGGGTAAGTATTCATTCAGCAATCTTCTATTTAAGTTATTTATATTTGGCATGTACTATGAGGCAAAATAAAATATATTTCAGTGTGGGTTGAAGTTTTTCATTGTGAGCCACAAAGATGGGTTATCTAGTCATTTACTTAGGTTTTTAATTTCTCTCAATACTATTTTGCAACTTTTATTGTACAAATTCTTCATTTCTTTTATTAAATTTATCCAGAAATATTTTACCATTTTTGGTGTTGTAAAAAAATAGTTTTATTAATTTCATTCTGGATTGTTTGCTAGTATATAGAAATACAATTGGCTTTTGTATATTAACTTTGTATCTTGCAACCTTGCTGAACTTGCTTAGTTGTGTGTGAGTGAGTGTGTGAAAGTCCTCAGATCTTTCTATGTATAAGATTGTGTCGGGCCAAGATGGAGGCACAGGTAGATACACTTCACTTCCTTATACAACCAAAAGAATGATAACAACCAATTTAAAAACAAAAACCAACCAGAACTGCCAGAAAACAACTGTATGGAAGTCTGACAACCAAGGAGTTCAAGAAACATTCTCAAATTGGTAGACAGGGTGGCAAGGACACAAGACACAGTGGTGACTAGCAGGTGGGGCAGTCCCACATTGGTGGGTGGATAAACCAGGAGGAACAACTGGGGAGTGAGACAGACCACACAACCCAGGGTTCCAGCACAGGAAACAAAAGCCTAAACACCTCTGGATGTAAAAATCTGTGGGGGTTGCAGCAGCAGGAGAAACTCCTAGCCTCACAGGAAGGTTTGTTGGAGAGACCCACAGGTCCTAGAATACACACAAAACCACCCACCAAGGAATCCACACCAGAAGTGTCTGATTTGCTTGTAGGTAGTGGGGGAAGTGACTGAAAGCTACAGCAGAGTAAGCGAGTGGCATTGTTCCCTCTCTGACCCCTCCCTTACATACAGCACCACAACTCAGCAAAGTGGGTCACCCTGCCCTGGCAAATACCTAAGGCTCCGCCCCTCAATGTAACAGGTACACAGAGACAAAGAAATATGGCCCAAATGAAAGAACAGATCAAAACTCCAGAAAAAGAGCTAAGCAACAAGGAGATAGCCAACCTATCAGATGCAGAGTTCAAAACACTGGTAATCAGGATGCTCACAGAAATGATCGACTATGGTCACAAAATAGAGGAAAAAGTGAAGGCTATACAAAGTGAAATAAAAGAAAATATACAGGGAACCAACAGTAGACAGAAGGAAACCAGGACTTAACAATTTGGAACAAAAGGAAGAAATAAACATCCAACCAGAACAGAATGAAGAAATAAGAATTCAAAAAAATGAGAAGAGGTTTAGGAACCTATAGACCTATAGTACAACTTTAAACATTCCAACATCCAAATCATAGGGGTACCAGAGGAAAAGAGGAAAAGCAAGAAACTGAAAACTTATTTGAACAAATAATGAAGGAAAACTTCCCCAATCTGGTGAAAGAACCAGACATGCAAGTCCAGGAAGCTCAGAGAGTCCCAAAGAAGTTGGATCCAAGGAGAAACACACAAGACACATTATAATTAAATTACCCAAGATTAAAGATAAGGAGAGTATCTTAAAAGCAGCAAGAGAAAAGAGAGAGTTACCACAAAGAAGTTCCAATTAGACTATCAGCTGATTTCTCAAAAGAAACCTTACAGGCAAGGAGCTTAGAGGAAAGAAGTATTCCAAGTCATGAAAAGCAAGGACCTACAACCCACATTACTCTATCCAGCAAAGCTATTATGTAAACTGGAAGGGCAGATAAAGTGCTTTGCAGATAAGGTCAAGTTAAAGGAGTTCATCACCAAGCCCTTAATTATATGAAGTGTTAAAGAAACTTGTCTAAGAAAAAGAAGATGATCAAAACTATGAACAGTAAAATAACAACAAACTCATAACTATCAACAAATGAACCTAAAACACAAAAGCAAAAGCAAGCTAAGCAAACAACTAGAACAGTAACAGAATCACAGAAATGGAGATGACATGGAGGCTTATTAGCAGGGAAGGAGTTAGGGGGAATCAAGGAAAAAGGTACAGGAAATAAGAAGCATAATTGGTAGGCATAAAATAGACAGGGGGAGGTTAAGAACAGTATAGGAAATGGAAAAGCTGAAGAACTTATATGTATGACCCATGGACATGAACTAAGCAGAGGAATGCTGGAGGGTGGGGTGGTGCAGGGTGGAGGAGGATGAAGGGGAGAAAAAAATTGGGACAACCGTAATCAATAAGATATACTTTTAAAATAAGATCAAGTCATTGGGGACTTCCACCAAGATGGAAGCATAGGTGGAGACGCCATGCTTTCTCCCACAACCAAGTTGAGAGACAACAAAATATTAGCAATAGAAAACACAGCCAGAACACAAAAAATTGAACTTTTCAGAAGTCTGGTAACAACCAATTCTTCAGCCTGACCGGTAAGAGGGGCGAAGCCAGCAGCTGGCAGAGCGGGGTTGCACAGGAAAACTCGGTCAGACGGACTCAGGCGTGCAGATCCCAGGCGTGGGGTTGCAATGGGCGGACCCAGTGAGTGACCCAGTGAGCGACTGGCGGACCCAGCGAGGACACAGGGCGGTGGGTTGACTGTGGTGGCACATTCCCGCTCTGCCACCGCAGATAGACTGGCGAGGGAGTGGGCAGTGAGACAGAACCAAGCAGGCATCAGCGACGGGAGGCAGCAGAGAGGGCCATTTCCCTGCTCTGACCCCGCCCCCACATACAGTATCACAACCCAGTGACCCTGCCCTGGTGGCTCCACCCCTAAGGCTCTGCTCCTCATACTTAAGGAGCTCAAACAGACCAAAAATGGCTCAAGAAGATCTCAAAGCCCCAGAGCCCATAACTCTAAGCAACCAAGAAATAGCCAAACTTTCAGATGCACAGTTCAATAGTAATGGAAAGGAAACTGGGACTCAAATCAAGGGAGTGAACCAGAAGGAAGGAAAAAATGACCAAACAGGAAAATGTGAAGAAACAAGAATTAAAAAAAAATGAGGAGAGGCTTAGGAACCTTCAGGACGTCTTTAAATGCTCCAACATCCGAATTATAGGGGTACCAGAAGGGGGAAAGGAACAGCCACCAGTGCAAAACTTATTTGAACAAATAATAAAGGAGAATTTCCCCAATCTGGCAAAGGAAATAGACTTCCAGGAAATCTGGGAAGCTCAGAGAGTCCCAAAGAAGTTGGACCCAACAAGGAACACACCAAGGCACATCATAATTATATTAGCCAAAATTAAAATGAAAGAGAGAATCCTAGAAGCAGCAAGAGATAAGGGGACAGTCACCTACAAAGGAGTTCCCATCAGACTGTGAGCTGATTTCTCAAAAGAGACCTTACAGGCAAGAAGGGGCTGGAAAGAGGTATTCTAAGTCATGAAATCCAAAGACTTACATCCAAGATTGCTCTATCCAGCAAAGTTTTCCTTTAGAATGGAAGGACAGATAAAGTGCTTCTCAGATAAGATCAAATTCAAGGAGTTCATCATCACCAACCCTTATTATATGAAATGTTAAAGGGACTTACCTAAGAAAAAGAAGATAAAAAAGATGAACAGTGAAAGGACAGCAAACTCACAGTTATCAACAACCACACCTAAAACAAAAGCAAACTAAGAGGACAGCTAGATCAGGAGCGGAACCATAGAAATGAAGATCACGTGAAGGGTTAGCAACAGGGGAGTGGGAGAAGGAGAAGGTACAGAAAATAAGTAGCGTAGACAGTAGACAGAAAATAGGGGGAGGGTAAGAATAGTATGGGAAATATAGAATCTAAAGAACTTGAGACTCATGGTCATAAACTAAAGGGGGGAATGATGGGAGTGGGGGGTGGAGGGGAATGAAGGGGGGAATAGAACTGTAATGGCATAATCAATAAAATAAAAATTTAAAAAATCATATCATTGGTAAATATACATTTTCCTTTCAAATTTGAATGCCCTTTTCTTTTTCTTGCCCTGGCTGGAATCTACAGTACAATATAAAATGAAAGCGATGGAAGCAGACATCCTTATTCTTATGTAAGGAAAATATACAGAAACATATATTTTCTTTATATACATACAGAAAAGTAAGGAAAATATACAGGAAGCATTTAGTCTTTGACTACTAAGCATTGTTGGTTTTTTTTTTATAGATGCCCTTTATCAGCTAAGACAGTCCCCTTCTATCCAAGTTTACTGGGGTTTTGTTGTTTTTAACCACCAAATTGTTTCGTATTTTGTCATGTTTTTTGTGTGTATCCAGATGTTTTCATCCTTTATTCTATTAGTATGTTATTATATTGATTTATTTTTGGACATTAAGCTACCCTTACTTTTTTGGGATAAATTCCACTTGGTCATAGTATATAATGCTCATCTCTCTCTATACCATGATTTTGTCTTAAAGGTAGAAGGTGGAAACCTTTGGTAGAGCTGTCCTAAGTGTGTGGCATGTCTGGCCTTTCCCTCCATATTCCTGGCACTTAGTATGGTCAAAGGGTGATAGCTTTATCTCTTAATGTTAATTCAGTTACTGTCTAGGGTACTTTCCTGTAGTCCAAAGGACTCCCTTTAGTATTTCTTGTAGGGCAGATCTACTAGTGAAAAATTATCTCAGTCTTTTTTATATTTATTTAAATATCTCAATTTCTGAAGGATATCTTGCTGGGTATACAATTCTGTCTTTTCTGTTTCAGTTCCTTGAATGTTACCCACTGAACTACTGGCCTACATAGTTTCTGATGAGCAGTAAGCTCTCAATTTCACCGGTGACCACTTGTATATGGTGTGCCATTTTTCTCTTGCTGTTTTCAAGATTCTCTTCTCATCTCTGGCTTTAGACAGTTTGATTACACTGAAAATTCTTTTAAAATATTGGATGAAATACTTATTTGCAGTTGGGCTACAGTTCCTTCGATGTGTCTTACTGCCTCTCAGAATGTTCCGTCAATGCTGTGATCTATTCCTGTAATTCTGCCTAGAGTTATCCTCAGAAAATATTTTTGAAGCAGGAAGAAATGATAGCCATATTTCCCACTTTTTCATCCTTTTCTGTTTTGTTTCTCACTAAAGGGAAATCTTTTCATTCTAAATTACCTCTGCTGAAATGTTAGGCTGAGCTGTGACCCATCTCTAATGACTTAAGACCATGAGAAGGCTTACATTATATACACTGCTTTCTTCTATTTAATCACCAAATGTGAATATTTTCTAGTGTCTTCCAAAATACAATTTATTAGTGGCTGTATAGTAATTCATAGCTGCAAAAAGAAACTAATATTGGTTATTTTGTTAGTTTCTGATTCTTCCCTATTATAAACAACACCGCGATGATTATTAACAACCTACAGAAGAGCAGGAGTCCTTTCTATTTTATTCTGTATTATGTTGTAGCATATGGCACAGAGCCTACCTTATAAAAGATGCCTATAAATGTGTGTAGAATGGAGAAAAAAACAAACGCTGGCTGGTGTGATCCGTGGATTGAGTGCCCACGTGCGAACCAAAGGATCCCTGGTTCAATTCCCATTGAAGACATATGCATGGATTGTCGGCCGGGTACCCAGCTGGAGGCGCTCAAGAGGCAACCACACACTGATGTTTCTCTCCCTCTCTTCCTCCCTCCCTTTCTCTAATAAATAAAACATTTTTTTAAAGGAAGTTATTTTAAAAAATGTGTGTAGAATGAGTAAGTGGTTGAATAAGCTCTTAAACTTTTATTTTCGAATTTGATTAGATCCTTTCAAAAATACCCAGAGGAGAAATTGATAGGTAGATCTGTATATATTTTAAACACTTGGTCAGTATTTTCAAATTGCATGCAGAACGATTTTGTCAGCTTATACATTCACTGGGTGTATATGGGAATGTCTGTTCTCTAACCTCCCCAATTACTGATCTGTTTTCACCTATGTAACTGACACTGGAAGACTATGGCTCTCCTAGTAGTTTTAATGTACATTTCTTGTAGCATAAGCGGTGACAAACTTTTTAATGTCTTTTGCGATCTGCTCCTTTGACCAGCAGAGCTCATCACTTTAGAAAGGAGGGCTGTTCTCTCCGAATCCCGGGGAACACAGCCTGCGGCTGCTCAGGGAATGAGACCGTTGCTCTGTGACTGTCACAACCCGTCTGATTCTCAGGTAGTCCCACACAGTGTTATCCTCACTGGTAAGAACAGCAGGGAGCGATTCAATCTTACCTTTCTCCCGGCAGCTTCTTCTCTCCCGGCACCATGATCCAGGAAACTGAGGTTGATCTTCGGGATTCCAGAACTTAGGCACAGGCTCTCACTGCTACCACCTCCACTAATGTTCACCTTCTCCGGTCACACAGATACCCACCTCGGCGGCCACTCTCCTTCTCCCGTGGAAGATGCGGCCACCATTGCCGCTCTCCTTCTCCCGTGGAAGTTGCCGCGCTCGTTGCCGCTCACCTTCGGCCGCCGAAAAATACACCTCCGCCGCAGCGCTCCTTCTCTTTTTATAGATCCCACCCCTCTGACGTTCCCCTTCCGGTTGGAGACCCCACTTCCGGTTGGAGACCCCACTTCCGCTGACGTTCTCCTTCTGGTTGGAGACCCTACCTCCGCCGCCGCTCGCTGTTTTTGTTGTAGCAAGCTTTGATCGCTATAACAAGTTTCTTTGGCTTTGCTCCGCTGCTGGCAAACAGTTTTCAAGCATGTTTTTTCCAGTATATGTCTACCAATAAAATCTATGTGCGTACTGAAATACTAATGTATTAAATACACGTACACCTATCACATGAAACTCAAAATTTTTAAGGGTAAGTTGTGTGAAAAGATACACACAACTGGCAGTTCCAACATTCCTTCTTGCTCAGTGATATTTCTTTTGGGGGTCCTCCACGTTAAAGCTTAGGGCTGTCAGTTATTCATAGCTAAATGCTGAGCAGGCAGTCGATTGTACCGTTCTTAGGGAGTCAGACTTCCTCCACCAGGGACCAGCTGACTGTATAGGCCAGCGCTTCCCGTGTGGTGCCATACAAGGCCACTTTAAACTGTTGTTCAGTAAACTGAACCCAGTGCCCTCTGATGCAGACTTTATATACAAGCCAAAGCCAGAACAGTGAGAGAACTGGCAGTCTTTCCCATTCTTCTCGGCCTCACACTCAATGGCTGGTTTGCTTCTGATGTTTGAGCAAAGAAACACAGCGGCAGGAGCCAAATCAGAATCCGCCCTTAGCACTTAGCATTTTTTTTAAAGATTTTATTTATTTATCTTTAGAGGGAAGGGAAGGAGAAAGGGAGAGAAAGGGAGAGAAATATCAATGTGTGGTTGCTTCCTGTGCATCCCCTGCTGGGAACTGGCCTGCAACCCAGGCATGTGCCCTGACTGGGAATCAAACCCTGGCAGTTTGGTTCGCAGGCCCCTGCTCAATCCACTGAGCTACACCAGCCAGGGCAGCAGTTAGAACTTTGATCCAATTAAGTGAAATATTTACATCACATCATACTGTGTACACATGTAATATCTTTACATGGAGAATCATGCAAAATAATGTAAAAATTTAACTGAAATAATAAAAGAAATAATAGTACTCGAATACAAGTTTTGAGAATTTCTTTACAGTAAAATGTAACACCAAATGTTTTCATGGAAGTAGCTGTCTCTAATGAAAGAGGAAAAAACTTCAATACATTTTACTTGAAACTTTGGGGGAAGGTGCTGTATTTGAAAGGGTGAGGGGCTTTGGGGCCAGACACCTGGATTTCAACTAGCTTTTGACCCAAGCTTGCTGTGGGCTAGCAGTGTGACTTCTGACATTGAGATTTTTGGTCTATGAAAAGGGGATAATAATCTCCTCACCTTATAATAACGAGAAAATTAAACCACAGAATGCCCACTAGCCATTTTCCACGTGGTAGCTACTCAGTAAATGTTTGTTCATTCCGAGGCAGCACAGTAAGGCGGTAGGACAGGTCCTGCGTAAGTAGAATGGGAAAACTGAGACAGGAAAATTAATCAAGACCAACCGGTTTGAGCCACGTACAACCCTTATCTCCCCTAACCGAGGACACTTGAGAACAAGTAATGTATACCTGTCCTCCATAACTGGGGAATACATAGCTTAAATCACCCTGGTCTGGGAACTTCCTTTGATACTTCTCTTTGCAGCTGTGAAATACCATAGGTGTCTAGGGAAGGGAAGAAAAGGGGAAACGTAGAAGCCGGCTACAAGCATAAGACCCCTAAGAAATACAAGATAAACCACTGTCTTTCATTGAGCTTATTCATAGGACTTAAAGAAGGCGAAAAACAAGACCAGGGTGCACCTTCAGGGAGAAAATAACAACCATTCTTCAGTGCCCGGGAGCCACAGAAACAGCAAAACAGAAAAGCCCCCCCGCCCCTTCTCACCCCAATAAAAAGCCTGAGCACTCACACGCAGGCGACTCTCTGGGTCTGATTCCCAGAGTTTCCAACCTCTGCAGAGCTGAAATGAGTCTTATTGTCATTATCAGCATTCCTGACCTAAATCCTTTTATTTCGGGAGACAAGAACCCAAATTGGTTCTGGGTTTGTTTTGGTAATGAGTCCTTCCTCATCTTTTTTAGACAGGCATGCAAATTTCTTTCATCCCTGCTTATGTCCTAACTTCAAAGCTGGCCTGTTTCAGCATTAATGATGTAGAATGGTTTTCCACCAGCTGCTTTCACTACCTAAAAAAGTCTTAAATTCGAAACTTCTATTGGAAAAAGTCTATGTTCCATTTGATCATGTCTAAGTCTCTAATGCAACCAAATGGGTTTACTTCTAATAAAAGTTAGTGGATGTAGTCTCAGGAAATTCCATAATGTGACAGTTATCAGAATTCTTTTTAGCATCATTAACTGATTTTTAAAAATTATACATAACTATAGTGTTCCAGAAATTCACATGTACAGCAAAATGCACATTCACACCTGCTGAAAAACCTGCTTTAGGAGAAAGTTTCTCCATTCAGCCCTTTCTGTTCAGCTCTTCCTTGCTCCTTATTCAGTTCTGTAAATATAGGCTTATGTTTGGCTCCCCACCCAACACCTTCATTCTCCATGTGCCCTTCTAAAAACATTACCTATTAAGGAATTTTCAGTAGTTGGTCTCTTGGAGAATTATTGCAGGTGTGAGTAGAGTTGTCTGCCACAACTCTCAGGAATCACAGCTAAACCAGGAACCAAGGAGGCCCGTAACAAACATTTGCCTGCTGCGTGCGTAGTTCGCCCACTATTTTGGAAAACTTGCTGATGACCAGAGAGGGTCAAGCCTGATGACCGTGCAGGTTTATTTCATCTCTTCTCCCCACCTTCCCTGCTCTGTGTGCCAGGGAAGGTGGGGAACGGGAAACGTGGGTTCACAACACCACAGACTGAGGTAACCAACATGTACTCCCCAGGCTCAAGGGAGGCCAGAGCTTCCTAGCCAGGCGGAGGGGCCTCGCCCCAGACTATGGGTCTTTAACAAGCTAACCTTCCTAACCTTCCTTGGTCACCTTACAGGCCTCAGGCTGCTCCTCCTCTCAGGGAAGTGTAGATGAAAAAGGGGCCACATACTAAACCTGATGGGCTCAAGGGAGACCAACATCGCAGGCCCTACCAAACCGGACACCAAAAGTAACCACTTACAAGGGTCTGAATGTAAAAATTCCCAACTCAAACTGAGTCCTGATAGGACCTCATGCACTAGGCCTGTACCTTATTTGTCAAAGGTCAATCACCACCCCAAGTGAGCCTGTTTATTGTCATCTTGCATCTGAGATGACATACCTTTGAAAAGTCACAAGCTCCAGCTTGTGGTCTCCAGCTCCAGACCCCTCAGGGCAAAACCATGAGCTCCGGAGCATGAGACTACAAACTGCTCTTTCTTATCTTGATCCCTGAATACCATCTCTCTGAGCTGTAATGTTAATTATTAGCTAAACTACACCCACCAATGTAAAAGAAAGTCTCTCCATTTTAGGCTTTATTCTATTCCACAGATTTTTCTACTTTGCTTTCTCCTGCCCCCTTTAACCTACCACCAATAGATTTCATGTAACCCTCTTTCTGTCCCCCTCTTCCATTCTAAAGTATAAAACAAGCTGCGAAACGGCCATTCCCAGGAGCATTTTCCCATCCACTAAGATTTTGCCTTTTCGCAATTGTCAGTTTCACTCAAATAAACTCAGAAAACATCTCTACAGGTTTGGTTGTTTCTCACATTGACAGAAGAAACCACTCACACTTCACCAAAAGGACAAGAAGAGAGAGGAGGATTCTGGCGTCACTACAGACCATGGAATCTCTCCCCTGGCTCTTGGGTATTAGCGTGGGCCTTGGGCTCCTGGTCTCTGAGGAGGTGAACTGTGCCTACTCTGTAGGGTCACAGACTTGCATGGCCCCTACTAGGCACTGAATGAGCCATGATCATACCTCAGCCGCTGGCCCAGGGACTCTGCTGGTCACCACTCTGTGCCCAGCTCTCTCCCCTCTTGCTGAAGTTAGAGCCTTTCTCACCAGCACATCCTGGGTTCCCTTTCAGTTCTTTGTCTTCTCAGTCTTCTCACTTTCTTTTCAAGGTATTTCCTTTCAGCTGATTTTCCCCAATAGAAGGTGGGTTCTGCTTTTTTTAATTTCTAGCAACTTTACTTCCACAGTCACTAAATGTTCTCATATTTACTTCCCTTGAACTAAATGAAGCCTCTTGAAGAAAATCCCCACAGTCAGGGGAGGAAACCAGGTGTGCCCTGTTAGATCACCCTCAGCCTTGGGCAGCACCAGGGCCCCTGAGGACCAGGCTGGTGAGCAGTACTTCCTCGCCTCCCTGGGGTCTCTGGGACTGTCACTGCAGCCTCTCTGCCCTTGGACACACTTTGGGAAGACTCAACTCCTGGACGTGTGGCTCAGTCTGTCCTTTCCCTCCTGGGACCAGGCCCGTGGTCTCCCCCTGCTCCTCCATGATGGAAGAATCCCACCACAGGCCTGCCTTGCTCCTGTGTGCCCTGTAACACAGCTTGGCTTTGCCTGAAGGTATAAGGCAAGCCCTCCAACCTCTTCCCTCTTAATTAATAAAGGGGATATTTGCCTTCAGCTTTATTCATTGTTTTATTCCTCAACTGCTTTAGGACCCCTAGAGAAAAAAGAGACACTACTCATTGGGGCCCTCTCAAACCCCCAGAGCTATGTCAAAGAACAAAGCTGGGTGGGCTGACTAATGCGGAGACTGTGGCAAACTGAGAGAGTGAACTGTGCAAAGAGAATGAAGCCAACTCAGCTCTAGCTCATTGCTGTCTTGTGGGCATTGGGCCCTTCTTCTCCCAGAAATTTCCAAATTTCAAGGAAAGCCAGAAGTCTTGATTTTTATCTCACATCTGCATACCTTCAAAGGTTGCAACCAACTCAACAAACGAACAACAAAACACCGTTAGCTGGTGTGGAAGAAACCACATTTATCTACAGGCCAAGGCTGCCCGCAGGCTGCCAGCAGGCTGCCCGCCTGGA